GGCGAGGCTGACTGAACATTAAATACTATGGGTGTGGAACTAATTGGCGGGTTATTGATCTTATTTGTGTTTCCTGGCGCCGGATTACTATAAGTTACCGTCACTGGTGCTGACATTGTGGCAGTTGTAGTCGTAATTGCAAAAGTTGTACTTGATGATTTTGGAGAGGCTTCAGTGTTCGTTGGTAAAAGTGTGTTTAGATTTGGTGAAGCTAACAGAGCATTAGGTGCGGGTGTGGAACTAATTGGCTTATTAGGAGTCTGATTTGTATTTCCTGTTAACGGATTACTATAAGTAATACTACCGACATTACCATTTTGGTTACTGACACCACCGACACCGACACCGTTACCACCGACACCGACACCGTTACCGACATTGATGATGTTACTGGTAAAACTGGTGATGAGCGATGTAGTTGTAGAGGTTGTTCCAACGTTCGTTGACAAAAGTGTGGTTGAAGCTAACTGAACATTAGATACTGCAGGTGTTGAACTAATCGGTTTATCAGGGGTATTTCCTGGTGCCGGATTACTAGAAGTTACCGTTATTGGTGCAAAAGTCATTGTTGATGTTATACTCGGTGCTTTTGGAGGGGCTCCAGCATTCGTTGACAAAGGTGTGGTTGGATTTGCTGAAGTTAACTGAACATTAGATACTGTGGGTGTGGAACTAATTGGCTGGTTATTGATCTGATTTGTATTTCCTGGAGCCGGATTATTAAAAGTTGATGCTATTGGGAAAGTTGTTGATGATGAGGCACCAGTACTCATTAATAGTGTATTTTGATTGATTGAAGTTGATGGTTGTGCATTTCCGATGTTTGCAGGAACTGCGGGTGAACTGCTACTACCAATCGAATTAACTGTCGTCTTTGCATTTGAAGGTCTTTTTGAAGTTCGATAAATTTTAGAATTTAATTTTGCGTAAAATGACAAGCAGTGAATACTTACTGTTGCCCTAAGACGAGATTCTGATTCACGCAACAGAGAATTATTATTATTACTATTATTATCATTAAAGAAAATTTCAGTCTCACCATCTTTCTTAAAATTTTTGTTGCAATTTTTCTAATATTTTAATATTTTAATTCTAATTTGAACCCGCGGTAAAATAGAAAACAATTTTTCGAAAACCTCTCGAATTCATAAAAGAATCGATATTTAGCGAACTTATCTCCCTTTTACAGTTACTGTTAAACGTAAACATATGCACAAAACTGCAAGACATGACTATCAAACCCTTTTTTCTTTATTAAAAATACATTAAAAAGTTCCACAACTTTTTTATTGTTATATATCATATATTATACATGTATATCGATATATCAAATATATGTACCTAACGCTAATTGTAAATTTACGTAATTCTCAGAGTTTCGCCGAGTCAGGAGTGGTCTGGTAATACAACAGAAAATTTCTAATAATACATGTACTGTATATCGATATCTAAAAGTAAGTGCGCGCAGTTTTCTCAATAGTTATATAAGTCAAATAAATAAATTTTAATACTTCAAACCAAAAAAAAAATGAACAAATTATTTTTTTTAATCTATTTTACCTTTTTGAATTTTTTCATTTCAACGTTTTTATATATTGAAAATGTTGATGCAAATTATACCACGTTTACTTATACAGAGAAGCAAGAAGTGAATGTCACATATGGTGAATACTTTACACTTGAAGATAACACGATAGTGATAAGAGTGACGCGACAAAAAAACGATACATGCCTTGAACCAGAAATATCGCTAAGAATTCTTGGTCCAATTGGAAATGTCACTGAAGTCAAATTGAATTATGAAATCCCAGAGTTTAATTTTTGTATCCAAAATTATCAAAGTTATACAGTTTCTCTTCGTCAAATGAATAAATATTTATTAGCCACTTATCTCGACACTGATGATTTCAAGAATTTTGAACGTAAAGCAATCTTGTTTACCCGTGATGGAGAAGTCAAAGGGTAAATTATTCATAAGTTATAATTTATAATTTATTGAAAATCAAATAATTATAATTGATATAAATCTTTATCTTCCAAATAGAAATCCAGTGATATTATCGCCAAAGATGACATCTCCGATGAATTCGAACGTTGACATAACAGAACACTTTCTTGGTATAAATGGACACCTATTTATTAACTCATACAATGAGCATAATCATATCGCATGGACGCAATTAAGTCAAATGTAAGTGATTTTCACTTAAGTACGTATCGAGTGTTTTTTGTGTAATTTCATTTTAAACTGTCTTTTGATGTAGCGATCAGTCTGGAAATTTTCGAATTTTACGAAGTGGGACTTTTAACGAAAATAATACACAAGCCACTGTTTTTCCAACGCTTGATGGTTCATTTGCCCTTGCATATATAGTAAATAGTACACATCCTACAGACATTTTATCCCAATTCGTCGATCCTCAATGGACAGCGCAAGTGGCATTTCTACGTTTGAAAAGTGACAAATTTACATCGCCATTTCTATTATATCAAACCGAATTGAAATTAGCATATATGGCTTTATCATCATGTATTAATTATTCCGATAAAGTTGGATATGGGTGTCTCTTACAACTTGCGTCAGATGGATCTGGAAAAAATGGAACTGATATGTGGCTCGAAATATCTTTCTTATCGGCAGGCGGGATAACTAACATCACAAATATGCAAAAATTTCTTAATAATGATAATCGTGTAGTGGGAATTACGTCACTCTTTTATGGAGGATATCTCGTTTATTTATCAAAACCAAATGGAAACGAAACATGGTCACCATATATGGAGGGTGTTATTTATGACATTGACAGAAATCGTAACTCGACATTAAACTTTCCGAATAATGTCCAACTCACCTTTGTGTCTGGTATATTGGGAAATTATAGTTTTTGGTCTCTTTCAAACAACACAAACAAAAAAAGTTGGACGATTGTCACGACTGAGCTTCCTCGTTTTCTCTCTGGTAATGTTCTATTTAAAGAATTCAATTAATAGTTATAAGAAACTCACTCTTCTATTATCATATGTTCCGTTATAGACCAAGGTTATTTTAACACGAAAGTTGAAACCACATACCCAGCTATTAATGATTCAGTTAAAATAGGAACCACAAATATTAACATTACATTTACAGATAAGGTTAAACTTTCCACGAATCAGTTATCTATATATAAATATGATTCGGGCGAAGTCTATCGTCAATTTGTTATCGCAGATAGTGAATATTGTAAGATGTCGGATGATGGTCGAACTGTATCGATCACTGTATTGAGTAGCACTTTCAATCAGGGTGGTGGTTATTATTATGTGCAAGTAGAAGATAATTTTGTTCAGGATTTCCTTCTAGAAGAACCAATGCATGGAATTTCTGGATATCGATGGATTTTTAGTTTAGGCAAGTATCATTTTCAAACTTAAAGTTTTCTCTTTTTTTATGCGTTCAAGCTAATCAATTATTATTATTATTTTTAATTATAGAAAATGAAACTGAAAGCGGAAAATATTCAAGTAAATACAGCAAACGCGTTTAATTTATATACTAAGAAAACTTTTGATTAATTATTAATATCTTGTGTAGAGCCTGTTACCGGTCTTCTTCGACTTAATTCGGACGGAACTCAAAAATACAAAAATTCTAATGGTGCTGAAAGACAAAAGTTCTATGACGAATTATTAGTAGACTTGTCAATAGTTACACCGATCGATATATCGAGGTTAAAGCACAATTATGGATTCCAATACCAAACGGATGCTCCAGAAGAGCAAATATTACTTTCGGTCAAAATTTTAGCTGGAAATCCTTCAGAGATGACAGTCAAAGAAGTCGCAGATACTATGGATGAATTGATTCGCCATAAAGACATTAGCCCAATAAGTGTTCGGCCGCCGGCATCATATCTCGACGAAACATATGGATTTAATGTTTATCGTATGTATATATATATACGTAGAGCTTTTATTGTACTTATATTTATTTTAATGCTTATACATTTTTCTATTTAAGCCAATTTCTGGGAACTATATAAATTGCAATTGGTAGGAGGGATAATTGGGTTTGTCGTTGTCGTGGGACTTTATTTCGCTGCTAGACGAGCATATCATCCGGTAAATATGTGTGCTTAATTTAATTTCTATTCTCTATCGCTATACTTATCGTTATCTTAATGTTAATAGGGAAATAATTTGGCAATCTTTCAATTTGTTATTATCATCATCGATTTTATATTTGATGTTTTATTTATTAAATTCAATGGTAAAGATGTACCGAGTTTATATTTGCCAAGGTAAATACGTCGTCGCTATGAATTTTACAGTGCAGTTGTCTGGTAAAAATAAAACTAACCACGTTATTTAATTCACAGCATTGTTATTCTAACTGCTACGATGGGGATTAATTTGATCCTTGCTTCTAGGATAATTGTTCACGAGAATCATACCAATTTAGGTAATTTTTATAATTGTTTGAAAATAAAAATGAATTCTATTAATAATTCGATTTGTATTTCTTGTTAGATTTTCATCAATGGTTTTCGCGATACGGAAGACTGTGCTCGCTTTTCTCGGTTTTGTCGATTACTGATATCGAAGCCTTGCAAATTCTGTCATCGAGATTCGCTGGTTTAGATTTTCTTAGTGCAACTTATTCGGATCAAGCACAGAATTGGCTTTTTTGGGGTTCAGTCTGTGGATTGCTTCTAGAAGATATCCCTCAATTAGTAATTCAGGTAAATTAGACCCCCCCCCCCCACTAATTCATTCCAAATACAATCAATAATACAACTTTCTATTCTTCGCCTTAACCTATATCAATAGATAATATATCGCTTTAACGTAATCACATGGGATATTGTGCCATTCATTGCAATAGGTTCATGTGTCATTGTCGTATTCGTGAAATTAATTGAAAAGATATTTTTCGCTATCCAAGTTTGTAAAAAGCCGCGACATCAATTACCGCCCACGCATTATTTGAACGCAGAACACATTGACACTTATCCAAACTATCAACTGCCACAGAAAGAGGTAGTAGATCCATCCGACTCATCTACTGTTGTGATGTCAGAAACAGATACGAGTACAGCAACGGCAGCTGACGAAATCAACACATTGCAAATCGTGAAATAACTGATTAATTTCAATTACGTAATACGTATCGATATTCTATTTCTTATTATAGACGTTAATTACATTTCATTACCATTACGTAATATCGATATGTTTGAATTTATTCTATTATTTGTATGTAGTACATGTAATTTTTGTTCATAATAAAGTTTATTATCGTTATTAATAATGGTTTATGTTTATCGTTATGCACTATCTCTATCGCTATCTCAATGAAAAATCAAATTCGCATTATTGATACACGTAGCGGTAGATCGAGATCTTGTTAATCGGGTATGGTTAATTTTAATGCTTACTAAAAATAATATTTAGATTAGCTATTTGTGGTGTTCTTTGCTATTGTAATAGTTCTAGGCCTCAGAACTTGAGATAGTAAGCGAATCTACAGAGGTGATTGAAAATTTAATATATTATTTCTCCTCATTTATTCCACATTTATAAAAAATACAATAATCGCTACTACCTCGCCACTGCAATAAAAGTGGTTAGTCTCTTCCTGATTAGATTTCACAAGGTAAATCTTGCATCAATTTATTAGTGTTAGTGATTTTACAGTACTTCACAGAAAACTATAGCAAACTCAATAGCGATATTAACTATGGCACAGCGAACGAGTAAACATGTTAAACGATTAGGTAAATATTGTAAGCAAAAAACTTTCTATTTTATAGGCAAAGGAACCAAGGGAGAAAAAGAGAACTTTTAATATTTCTAGGCACCGAAGGAAATGACGAACCTTATATCCCTTTTTATGTTAAACGATGGAAAATTGAACCAATATTCATTCAAAGGCACCTTTAATTATTAAAAAAAAATAGAGAAAATCAAAACTGTCTTGGCACTAATCGAAAACACCCCTTGATCAAATTTGCACTTTGTATTCAGTAGTACATGTTTCACATACTTGTAGTCTCATTGTGTGCAGTAATTTCTCAGAAAGATCATTGTTTCACCAAAATGTTTAAACAAACAAATACACATGTACGTATCGGTATGTTCTATGTATCAAGAATTTCAATTATTAATTTGTACTTTGCATCCATCTTCTATATAGAAATTTTTTGCTAACACTATCGCTACCATATCAGCAAGGAAGCCACAGCATTGTATACGTATTCTATTTCTGGAGGCTTAATTTTTCAACGCAATATCGATATTATAATATAGCGGAGTTTGTTGCTACATGTATTACTATTACGTACATGTATATCAACAAGAAGCCGCAGCATACGTATTTTCAGGAGGCTTGACTTTTCAACGCAGTATTATAAAAACAATCGGACTATAATCTGAGTTTTATTTTCAATACAGTATTTTGCATAATTAATATGCATAGGAAAACCTTTGAACCTTAAAACTATATTATATAAATTAGATGTCCATTTTATTTTTAAACTCGTTTTTGAAAAAAATTGTCTACTGACTCTCCAATATATAATTTTTAAAATGAATAATCTCAAAATAATAATATTTTTGCTAATATACACTATTAATGTTTTAGCTCAACAACCGTATGTATTAGTATGACTGAAATATATTTGTTAAAAATTATCAATTATTAATTATAATTTTAATTTGATCGTAATATTTTAGAAGTGCGTCGTCTACTACTTCAACTAGTGCATTACCACCATCTTCAACATCTTTGGCAACTCTGCCGCCAGTAACTACCATTCCTGGTCCGATACCACCGACGACACAACAACCACTGCCGAAACCATCACAACCGGCACAATTACCACCACCACCACCACCACCACCACAATCACAACCGGCATATACAAATCCGAATACAGACAATAAACCTACCATTGCTCAAAAACCTCTTTCTAGTCCAGCAGCACCTACGGCTGCAACTATGCAAAACCAACCTGATATTCTTCCGACTTTCCCGTCTCCAAGGTAAATTTTATATCGATGTGATTTTAATTAATAGAATATTTTCTTGAAATATAATTTGTACCAAAATCGAAAACATTATATTCAAATCTGTTTCATTTTAGCTCGGGAAATAACAAAGATGATAACAGCAATAACAATAACAACAACAATAACAATAACAACAACAATAACAATAATCAGCCAAATTCTCCTGGAAATAATCCACCTGCATCAGTAAGTGCTAAAAATACAATTACTTATCAATCCGTTCAGCAAACTATTAAAAATAACGGATCAAATTCTCAGACAAACTCGCAAAATGAAATTCCTACTTCGCAGAAAACCCAAAGTCCTACTGTCAAATATATCACATCCACTATAGCAACTTCCGCGACCAAATTAATTACTACCACTTTGGCTAATTCTTCCGTACAAATATTTACGACCGTTGTGCCTTCATCAAAAGTAGTAGTTATTCCAACAACTAGTAGTCCAAGTCCAACTAATAGGCTTTTTTCAAGTGCTAATTCATTTCTGCTTATTGATGCGATTTTCGAAAGGATAATAATGACTTCGATTTTCTCTTTTGGCTTAAGTTTAATCCTTGTTAGAATTTCATTTTAGATTAATTAATTTGGTTTTTATTTAATATTTTAGCAATATTAGCAAGGTTAAAAATTTGTGTTTCGAATATTTCAGAATTTGCAGAAAATCACGAACTTTAATACCAATACGTACATACAAACCTAATCCAAATATACAGATCATGTAAAATAATGAGAATAAATTGAATAATGGGTGGAAAGTATAAATAACTTATAAAGATCCCCTCAAAAAATTATATTTTAGTGTCATGGGGAGAATAAAATTCGTCGGATTAATTCATTTACTTGTTACTGCTACATGCAATTCCCCACAAAGTATCGCCCGATTTCTTTATATATATAAAAATTTTTTTACCATTAACTAATACATTACCCAACCTCTATATGGCTTCAATATCACCTCAATTCCTTACGGCATCGAGCTCACATCCTACCCCAAACTAACACATTAAATTTTGACTACA